GGTTTAACAGTATGAGTTTTGGGTGCAAGCTAAAATATAATGTCGCTTCAGCTAAAAATCCTTTGTGGAAGTTTACGATCTCGTATTATTCCATTGAGCAAAAACCTTATTGGAAATTCTGTTCGGTAAACTTAACACACACACATATAGTTTCCCATTTAAGACATTTTACTTCCAATTTTTCTCAGAGAGTTATATTTGCAATCAAAACAAAAAACATATGAACAGTTTCTCCAGCTTAAGAGGCAAGCTTAGTAGTTTTTTTTTTACTTTAAAAAAATCATCTTTTAATGTAATCTATTTATACATTTAAACGATCTATAATGAAACCTCTTTGTGTTTTCATAAATATGTTTTATGAAATTTACTCAAGTTCTGAGATAAACTGGTACAAAAAAGTATGGGTATGCCTTATTAATATGAAAATAAATTTATTAGGCCGGCTGTTATAGCTCCTGCGCTCATCTGCGGATCACCCTACCGTGGAGCTCCGGCGAAGCCGGTAAGCTTGTAGGTGCAGGGACGCGGTGAAATCCCCCCAATGGGGAAGTTCGCGGTTCCGTACTGAACAGCGTAGAGAGTATTCGCAGGATTTTTAGCGGATAGTAAGCCACGCGGGCTGTTTAACGGCTTCTCCGTAACGCACCCGTGGGACTTGCGAGATGCTAGGTGTTAGGTCTGCTCGTGGGTATGCCCCTTAAGGACGCCAGCGTTGGTAAACAGAGGTTTTGCCTGCTTATAAACTGGCTATTATAGCTGCAGTTAACGTATTGAAACAAGAAACTAAAAGCATATTCAATGCATACATCCAACACTAAAACAGTACATTGAAGCTGAATATCTATTGTAACACTACTCGATTATTGGTTGTACCATAAGCAATCGGATACATGGCTATGTGAGTTCATACCTACAGGCAGATTTAGATGCAGTTACAAAGGCAACCGAGCTCGTCATTACGCGGCTAGAGCGACCGACCGCGCAAAAAGCGAACCAAATTCTATTACCGCCTGATATGCAACAAAGACCGCCGGCCCGCCCGCCCCAAATTGCTTTAGCCCGCAGTCACCATATTTACTCTCGTGTACCTACAACAATGTCAGTGCAAATCAAAATTCAATTTTGGATTTCAATAACAGTCACGGTTTTGGCGAGTCTTCAATCAATTCTGCGCGTGATGCGGCGACGCGGCGTCTGTCTAGGCACGTTAGCTTATGGGAGACGGCTCTTCAGAGGCCATAAATTGCGGCGAGTACAAATTAAATTAGGTAATATAGAGCATGACGAGAGGGGCGACCGGCCAGCGACATGGAATGGGTTGGGCCACTCTCGCAGTCAGATCATCCTGTACATGTAAACTTTTTGATATTAGCCATTCCAATTTCTAATCAAAGTTAAATGACAGGGGTGAAGTTTTAAATATTTAAACGTAGGGAATATCCAAGCCAAAGCTTATTATAATGTTGTTATGAAACTCGTTTTTATTAATATAGCAACAACATCCTCGGCAATTAAATATTCCTAATAATGGCATAAACATCCATAAGCTATAAATTATAGTTAATTAACACTTCGACCCAAAAAAAAAACTTTGATTTAAATTCGAATTTTCCAGGTAATTTTAGAACATTCTCAACTGAAGTAGGTACTTCAGAAAGCCTTCTCCCAAATAGACCCTTTTCCATTGTGCCTTTCAAATAAATTTTATTTTAAACACTATCTATAACTAAGTTTTGAATTCAAATCTTGGACATTGTAATAAATAATACTATTTATTACGTTATGAATAACAACCTTAATGACAGCACAACAAGAATGTAAACATCCGCAGAAACAGTCGGCTGTCGAAAAAGTTTAATCAAATGTTTACTTGCGTACCGAACGATTCGCTAAGCCAACTAGCGCAGTATTTGCAAACTTTGGTTCGGTAAAAGCTGCGAGGGAATGATTTGAATATTGACAATTAATTAACAAAGTTGTCGAGCAATAAACAAAAGAGGGCGTGGTTGCGGCAAATGACCACCATCGGGTGTCGGTGACAGGGCACACCACAGATTTGTGGTATGCTGGTGTACTCGCAGGTCGAGCTCTTGACCGATCTCGTTGTCTTTGGCTGGACCGCAGTTATTAATGAAGTTTGAATAACAAATGGAGTAAGGCTTTGAAGCGTGCCAACGCCAGATCATTGTTGTAAATAAGAGAGATGACTAATAGTTCAATTTAACAAATATAAATCAATTGCCAGAATCGCTTGTAGATTAAATTTGTAGATTCTATGTTCAATAGAAACTTGCCTCGATTTATAGGCTTTCAAGTATTTAATTTAAATTAAAAATTCTAACCTTTTTTTGAAACCACTTTTTTATTCATGTTCATCGTGACATATTCTTAAGTTTTATTACGTAGAACATTTATTTAACGCTAATGCAAAACAAATTGTTTGTGTGATGCAAACTTTGAAACCTTACAATAAAACTGTCGTTACAAAGAAAAAAATACACGTTAAGTTTATCGAGGTTCAAATTAAACTTTCTACTACAAAATAACTAAACACTTTTCTACGACTTTGAAATGCATTATTTTTAAGTGAAATTTTAAAAGAAAGTTACTTAAGGCGCACCTTATTTTAAAACTGAACAAAAGCACAGTGAGGGGGGAGCATGAAAAAATATATGTTTCTTCGCACAAATTCCGGCACACAACAAAAGTACAAAGAATTCTTTAATGAAATACCTATTGCCGAAAAATTTAAAAATTTCAATGAAATATCTTTGTTAGTGAATAAACGATGGCTGGATGGAAATAAAAACTGTTCCCGCAAAATAAGCGGGCAAGAAGGAATTCAAGCAATTTTTAATGTAGAACGGGCGTGACCCATGATCGCGGTAAAATATATTAAGCGACGTAGATGTGAATAAACAAATATATGTGTACTTAAAAAAATACTTCATTCCTCCATATATTGTTATTTAATTTTGATGCGATCTAGGTATTTTTTCTGTTTACATTTCCATTTATTTAATACTTAAATTCGACAGATTTCAGACTATCTTACTGTTCGTATGTTTGTTACCTAATCACGCAAAAACTACTGAACAGATTTGAATGAAATTGGGTACACATTTAGATTATGACCTGGATTGAGACCTAAAATACGATTTATCTCGGAACAATATCTGGTTTTCTGTGGGATTCCAAAAACCTAGAGTTAACGTGGAAGAACAGTCTATATTCAAAGGAATTGTATACTCTAACAAATTGTAGCTGACCCAAGTATAAGGCTGAATTTGAGCTTGCACTCTACGCTATCCAAAAGAATGCACTACCAATGATACTACCGGGGCCTTAACAGACCAATTGTTTTTTCAATACTTCTTGACCTGTATAACGGCGCAAGGAGCAGCATCGCAGTGAGGTCACTACAATGTCCAATGAGATACTTTCACAAGTGCCAAACATTTGCATAAAATTACCATTATATTATTCTACTAGTTCGAATCCAAACTACTACCTCGTACGCGATTTTTTCTTTAATTTTAAAACTCTAACAGTTAAATGCTTAAATAAATTATATCAAGTTGCAAATAACAAATTGTCTAAACAAACATTATGTCCACATTTAATTACTCAAAATGTCGCAGTCCCAATCACTCGTATAATTAATCGCATCGCAAAATAGAATGCATAATCGGCATGGTTGTGGATACAAAACATTAGCTTTACTGATTTTAACGATCAACAAGCAAGTGAGCAAGTGTCAACGCTTGCTTTCAAAATCAACATTGGCTGTTGATGTTGTAGCGGACAGCGGAAATGACATATTATTTCAATGCGGCATCGTAGCTGCCTTCATAGCGTGCGTACACGAGGGACTTTAATCTGCAGTTTTTGTCCTCCAAAATAGATCGCTTACATATTGTTTTAAACTTTCATAGTCACTAACATTATAGTAATATAAGTTATTTACGGGATTGTTACCATGTACCTTGTTTTTAGCGAGTTTCCGATATTTCGGCACTGTTGCAAGCGCCATGATCACGGAGTAACTTATATGTAACAACATACATGGTAACAATCGCGTAAATAACTTATATTACTATAGATCGCTAATAAATCCCGCGGAAAAAGTTCCCCGAACAACCGTGGATACTGAGAGACCGGACAGTACAAAGGTACGCGCGAATCTCCGAAAAAAAAAATACGCAGCGAACATTAGTCCACTTTGCGCGCTCGATCCGATTCAAAAGATGGACCCAGTATTCTCTTATAAAATGTTTTTCTTTTTTTTAAACTTCATGCTAATTATAATACAACGTAATCTGAGAATATTTACATCCATAGCATGCGGTTTTCTTTCAGGGGACAAAGTTTAATGTTCGCATATCGTGAACGTTGAGTCCGTGACAAGTCCTCAGCGGACATTTTCTTCACGATTTAGAGACTTTTGTCCTCTGCAGTCAAAAGCCCCTCGTCTGCGCAGGCTATTAATGTTATGTACGAAAGTATATCTAGAGCCTGCCATTGTCCGGTTTGCGACACGCCGAAACAACATATTTCAATTCGATATCGTGCGAACAATGGACGGAAGTCAGCGAATATGAATGGTCGGAAAGGCCTCTGGCTATCGAGAAAGGGCCCCGATGTAAATAACTGTATTAACGGATACTATGAAAGGTAACATCTATTTGAATGAGCTCGCCTGTGAACGAAATCAGCACTTCTACGAAGATAAAAAATTTAAGATAAATTGAATTTAATACACATTTTGAACAAAACGTCGATGAAATCAATAACATTACGTAGTATATGTATATCATCTGTGATAATAGTAATGTATTTTTTATTGTAGATAGTTCACTATTTTAAAGACTATATGAGGGCCGGCTATTTTGCCATTACACCGTTGAACACCAATATGACTGAAAAACAATAACTTCTTCTCCGTTAAGAATGTTTAACTGACATTTTACAGACTGCTCATAAAATATTTCCTTTTCCAGGTGAAATGATAATAACCAATGATAAATACCAGATGAGCGAGATAAATAGCTCGGCATACAGCGTTCAGATGCGGCTCATTGTGCGTAACATACAGAAGAACGACTTGGGGGGATACAAGTGCATTTCCAAGAACTCTATTGGGGACGCTGAGGGTAATATTAGGTTGTACGGTGAGTAATTCCAATATTAATTCTTCACAATATTTTACTTGTATTTTATACAAACATTCTTCATTCATACATTCTTTAAAAATATATATTTTAACGTTATCTTTTACAAAATATTTGCATAGAAGAGTGAAAATTTACCTCAAAGTGCACAAGCCGATGGGGCACAAACTCGTGGAGAGTTCATCGGCATGAAATAAACATTTCTCAATCAACTTTTATCACCTATTTCACAAAACATTAAGGTAACAATATTTGTCAAATATATAAAAAATGTGATATCATATTTGAGAACGGCTTTAGGAGGTAGAGTCTGTCTGGGGAGAAAATGGCGCAAGTATACTTTGGTGTCGCAACGGCTATAGGCGACAGCGATCGCTTACCATCAGGCTGGCCATATGCATATTTCTATTTATCACCCATTGTAGATAAAGAAAAACTACAGAATTATTATGCTATTGCAACCAGGAAAAACAAGGTCCACAACATTCGATCAAGTTAATTCAAGTTCCATTGTTAACATATCTTCATTTGTTTGATGAACAGAAATGGAATTGCCGCATAGAAAGTCACGAGACGAAGACGAGCGCTCCAACTCCGTTGAGGAAACAAATGACGTGCGATCAAGTCACCAGGGGCCTCTGCGCGAAGGCGGTCCCAGGGAAGACGCGAGTTTCCTAGGCGGCGGCGGGCCCTCATCCGGCAAAGCGGCACGCGTATCACCGCCCGCTGTATTCCTCGTAACCATGCTATTCTACGCCGCGTACTAAACTTCAAAAGTTTTTAATCCAAGAACGCGATCACTTCAGGCTATGTGGACGTGTTTTATACTCACGTGGCAAAACATGTACAGTACAGCGATTAGATTTATATGAACATAAATGAATATGTATATGGACATAGGTAACCAATAGTTGGGAACTAACGTAGTTCATTTCCCCCTTCATGATTATTGACGGCATTACTTGAAGTGGTGTTAATTAATGACCGAAAGCTTCTTTTGTTTGTAGAAGTAAAAAAGGAAAATTTTATATGTTTGAAAAAGAGTTCGGGTTGTATTTTCATTTGGAATTCCGTAATGCGTAAATATTAATCATTTAAATGAACAGACTTCAGTTATAGTTATAGCCAAAAAATTAAACAACAATACTTGTTAAATATAGAACTTTAAAATAAATATACTCGGCTTCTTTTATCTCCAAAATTTATACTGTCTCGTAGCTTGAAGGCTATTAACAAAAAGTTTATTGTTACTATTTTAAGTTATATATTTAAATTTAAGTTATTATTAAAAAGGCACGAAAGTAATTATTGACATCTTAGGTATATTTTAGAATGTTGAATATAACGAGGTGAACTATAATTTCCTTTTGTTTATGTCCTACAGGTAATAAATTGTTATATTATTAATTTGACAAAATATGTACTATTAATGTCGTAGCTTTGTATAATAAAATTATGAAATGTTGAAATGTATGTATATAAAGTAGCCAAGTAAGATAAATATTTTATATTTAATTTGTTTACACGTCACTTAAATTGTGTTATTATTTCTGAAATTGCTAAGCAAGACTTTATTTTAATTGAAAATTATGTTTGTAGCATTTATGCATTAAAAGGGTGTACATTATAAAGTATGTAAAACACGGATGTTTTGTAAAATGTTAATGTTTTAATATTGTTGAATTTTATGAATAATTATTTGTAAGCGATTAAATAAAGTATGCCAGTTGAGTAGATGGTTACTTGTAAAAAACGTTTCATCAAAGTATGTATCTTTTCAGAATGTAACCGTAGATTTGTTTGTCCTTTCTGTTAAATTCTTGTTGATTCATAATGAACATAAAAACATGTAATAACTGTCTGTTTTTTATATATATATAACGGCCTTATATAAATGTATTATACAGCCTGCGAAACGAAATATAAACGAAGTAACGTCCACCATTGCATTTTTATTTCTTGTGAAAATGACGCTACCGGAAAAATATGTGGAAGTGGTTAATTATTTTTTATTAAGCATAAGATGCAACATTTACTATTTTTGGTTAAGTAACCACGTTATAAAAATGTTTCTCTACAATCGCAAGAAGGCAGTTTGTGTTAACAGTTCATTCACTTTATTATGTCTATATACTATAACCGCCAGCCTCTTGGTGGTCCACCGTGAAAAGAGATTTATTATTCAACTATCACCGATGACAACCCGGCACAGAATGTCGCAAATGCACAAGAAGGCCCGACCCTAAATAAAGATGGAATAAGCTTAGGAAGAAGAAGAAGCTATACTATGACCCAAGAAACAGCAAAATAGTTTGTGACAAGCATGCTACAGTTGTAGACATGAAAATGTAATTTAAATATATATATAAAAAAAGATTATCAAATAAATCTAGAAAGCGATTTGACAGAAGGGAAGACTCTGATTCTCACTTCAAATATCTATTCTCGAGAAAGAAAGTAATAATACAGCTTAACAATGTCCCTGTTTACGCCGCGCCACTACCGCAGCGAACACATCTTTCACCCATCCAATATTAATCAGAATGTTACTGCTGTAATATACTAGAACCTCCTTACTCATGCAACCAAACTGCCTATAGCCAAAGAGCTGCGTACCCAACCTATATTAGAAGAATTTGCGGAACATAACTAAATAAATGTTGAACTCAACAAGGAGGTGATATTCCCATGTCCGTAAGATCTTGTACCTTAATTTAACACTTAGTCAAAATAGACAATTTGGGAAAGGGTCTGACAATATCCAGCGTGTCGACCCTCCTAATAGGCACCTACGGGCGGGCTTGTAAGTGCGATCCAGATAGTGTGCTAACCACTTGCATTAGCGAAATTACCTGAGGCTTTATTATTTTCATTGAGACAGAGATGGGTCGGTGTTCTGCTGGAACTTCATGTTTACACACTTGGCTGAGTAATTTATATAAGATTCAGGACGAATGATTTACTTTATCGAGTAAAATTGAAAAAAGTATTTCATATTATTCCGGGATTCGAACCCGGGACCTCTCGAGTCATGGTGTCGCCGGCTCGAGAGGTCCCGGGTTCAAATCCCGGTGGGGGCAGATGTTTGTGTGATGAATACGAGCATTTGTACTCCAGTCATGGATGTTTTATATGTTTTTCTATATAACTATACTTAAATATATACAGTATGTGTATTCTATCCGACACCCTAGTATCCCATAACAAGCCTTACAGTGCTTACTTTGGGGCTAAGCTAATTGGTGTGAGTGTTAGAAATATTTATTACATTTATTTTATTTATTATTTTTGCTACGTTAGAAGGCATACTTAAAAGATTCTCTTTAGTAATAAGGGAAGCAAAACAGCAGTTGGCCCACTTGTAAATTACTAATAATAAAAATTAATATAAATAAAAATATACTTCGATTCTTGTCATACCAGAGTAAATTACGCTTGATGGTCGTAGCGGAATCGACTCGGAAAGGAATCGTCATCATATCAACTCAAACCGATCCGTATTCTTTGTATGAAACTCCACAATGCAACGTATGTAATCGGAATCGGAACTTAACTGTCTCTCTGCCGCGGGATAATTTCCCTTACGTGCGTGGTAAACTCTCCGTACACTAGCTTAGGTCTATCCATAGCCTACCTTACATCTTTCCGTAGCCTACGTTACTACCTAGCTTACTACTATTCCGTAGCTTACCTACTACGTTACGTTACTTTCTTTATGACTGATCAAACTGGTGGCACCTAGCCGTAAACCAGCGGTCGGCGAGCCGTAAGCGCGGCGTCGCCTATCCGAACGTACTGAAACTGCTTATCCGCTTACGTTATATGCTTACGTTAGATGTACGCCTTTTTAACAGCAATCCGAAAGGCGAGTCGGCGTCCATCCGTTTCCAAGTTAATATGTGTGCTATGACGCTTATTATATACACCCTCAGTAAAGATTTTGAACTGTTTTTCTTACGAGAGTTTTTTTTAATGCACAGATACATTAATTTGTTCCATCTGACCATAGCAAGATTATTACCTTTACCTTATTATCCTTTTTTGACGTGACAACGTCTTAAATTAGGTTGCGGCTGGGAGTCACTTATGAAAAAGTGTAACGCTCGGTAACGTTACGATGAGTCTCTCGTGTTAAGTTTAAGTTTACATGTACAATGTTTTAGTAAACAAAATATATTTCTATAGTTAAAATTTGTGCAATTCTTATTTTCATTCAATTCCTTGTTCCTATTGTGCAATTTAATTATATTCATATCAATAAATATTCTACCGAGAAAAAGACGTTGTCACGTAAAATCTTCGCCCGTAAAACCGACTTTACAGGCAACCATTTTTTTCATGATAATAACCAGAATGCTTACTTTATGCTAATAGACATGGCCTAAATTCTATTAAAATTGTATTGTTCTTAACTCCAGAGTAACAATAATAATGTAGTTGGTCTAATACATCCTGAGAATAAATTGCACAAACAATCAATACACTTCATTGTATCTCGTTGTCAAAGGGAGACAGTAAACCAATAGGCGCAGTTGCCGTATCACAGCTTGCATCTTAACTACTAAACAAACATTCGAGTATGGGCATGCTTACATATTTAAAGGATACCTATAGATATCATATATTGAGGAGCGAAAACCGCAATGTGACTTGTAATTAGGTACTTTATTTATTATTTAGTATTTCTTTAAAAATTACTTCAAAATTTTGTCAAACTATTAACTACTGTAATAAAGTTTAAATGAACCAAACCAATGATATACTGATCGATGTCCTGTCCGATATCATCATCATCAGCCTAAATGTCCCCGCTGCAGGGGCACAGGCCTTTTATGGATAGAATGGAGACTTGGCCGTGACCCACCACGAGGGGCAAGTGTGGATTGGTGCTAACGTCTGCAGATGCAGACGGGACGGCTTAACGAGCTTTCCGAAGCTCGAGATAATAACCTTTGGTCACCCTTCCAATGACCGACCATTGCGAAAGTTGTTTAATTTTTACTATCGCGGGCCAAATGCGCTAACCACCTGCGCCATCGAGACACAATATAAAAATGTCCTGGGATCTGACTGCAGCGCCACTTATTTAAATAGACCTTCTAGTTGTAAATGTAAACCATCCAGGGACTAACACGAATGGATAAATAAAACTTCATCGAAATCAGTTTAACCACAAGTTGAATAACATACAAACGGACAGAAGACATATATATTCAGCGTCTATAGACTATGTTGGTCGACAACCGTTGGTCGGACCATAAGCTAGTTTTCCACCATTTTACAGAAAAAGAAATCTATTTGGTATCCTTTCCCCTTTTTGTAAAAACAAGCAGTTACGCCTTCCATACGAATACGAATGCTATCATATGCATTAATCTGTACAACTCAATACCCAACTTAGGATATTAGAAACAAGTTCACACAACCAAAATTACATTAGCCGAGTGCATATCATCGATGTATGTTTGTTTACAAGCGTCCCGCGTTGGGGACGCCGTCGGCGGACGTCCGGTCACAATCTGCATAACAATGGTGCTCCATAGTCGCCATTCTCCAGATGGATGCTAATGCCTGCTCTATTCATAATTCATGTCTTAATGAAGTGGACGAACTCAGCTATAAGACGTCACGACCCTTTGTCTCATCTGCGTATGAGAATTAATGCGAACACAATGTAATAGGATTTGTCTCGTGCCAAAGGTCGCGCTGGTGATATTCCACTATAGGTTTTGTTAAAGATGTTTAGTTTGTTTAGATAGGTATTCTCTATGTCTCTCTCTTTCTCCTCGAATCTAAATAATAGGAGATATCATGACATCATCCGCTTAACCACTCGATAACAAAAGACGACCTTCCTTGCTCATAGTTAAAGTCACACAGAGAATATTGACTATGCAAGCAAGCGCTGATAGGTGGGAGAAAAAGACTGAAATAAAACCAGAACTAACACTTTACGTGCTTTCTACATAATAATGCCGAAATAATGAAGGACTTTGTAGTTCCTTGTCATCAAACATATATTTTAATCTTAGAGGTTGTTATTGAATC